TGGCCCCGTGTACAGAAGGTTTACACCTCTGGATGTATAGAGGGTGGATTTTCTGTTGGGACATTCGTGAGCAGCACCTGACTGATAGGGTCATCCGTTAGTTCGGGTGTCGGCAAGCCATCCCCGACCCTCCGATCATTAGGGGTTTGGCTGAGTACCAGACACACCACCGAGGCCAAGGAATGACTGAGAGAGCATTCTATGATTAGGTGGAGTATCATGGAGCACTTGGGAATATTTGGGTCAAAGAAAGAGCCCAACATGTCCACCTACATTACCCTATGGAGTCGTTCCTTGAGCCTGAGCCGGGTTACCTTGATTGGTTTCACTATAGGACTGTGAGACTAATCAGTAATCCTGGCAACAACCCGATGGTCCAACAGGAAGAAGGCTTTCATCCACTGTCCGAGCAGGGGATGTGCAGTGTAACTGTTAATAAATTGTGTTTTTTTAATATTATTCTTATTATTTTTTTTGTTTAATGGTAATAATTTTTATTTTTTTTTTTAGGCCAATGCCATGGAGGGGGTTTATAACTTGTTATCGACCCTTGACTTTAATGCACTCACTCCAGAGCAGCAGTCCATAATCGCACAATCCCAAAACATGCTCTACAGTGGACTGACTGTCGGAGGACAAGGGGTCACGCAAGGGACGTCGTCGGGTCAAGTTCTATCTCAAGAGAGCTATGTCCGACCCCAACCGACACAGTCGCACCGGGCGAGGCATCGACCTGCTGCCAATATTGGTGGGCGTAGAAGACGCCGTGTCCGCGAACTCGATGCCAACACCGTGCCTGCCGACACCGTGCCTCCCAATACCGTGCCTCCCAACACCGTGCTTGTGGAACAAGTAGAAGAAGGTCAAATTTTTTTACTTAATTGGAATATGATTTTTTAATTATCTATTTATTTATTGTCAAGTAGAATTTCTGATTTTCTTAAAATATCAATTATTCAGATACAGAAGAAGAAGCTGCCACGTCCACAACCTCATCTTCTTTACAGACGTACCAGCGTCGGAAGGGCTCCCGAGAGCGAGACCTCCGAATCAATTCACTCCTAGCAACTATTAGAAAATTTATGGACATTTTTTTTTCTTGACTTTTGTGTAATTAAATTCACACATATTGGTATTGTGAATAAATTATTGTGCTTCAATTTTGTTTGTGGAATTGATATATTTTGGATGAATATTTAGTTGTTGATTATTTGGTTGTGGAATCAATTTCGACAAACATGTGTTCTATTTTATTTCTATTGTAAAATTATTGTTCCTGTATAGTAAAACGTATTTTCATAATACGTTTTACCTTTTTTTTTAATGGAAAACGTATTGTCAGAATACGGTTTCCTTAAAAAAAACCGTATTCTGAAAATACGTTTTCAATTAAAAAAAAATCACTCAATAATAAATTTTACAATTTTTTCATATAATTTATAGTATATAAAATTTATTTAAAAAAGAAACGCGTATCGAAAATACGTTTTTGTTTGTAAAACGTATTTCTAAAGTACGTTTTTTATAAAACGTATTATGAAAATACGTTTTAATTTGATTGAATTTTCTTAATCACGTTTTATATTAATGTAATTAAGTTAATCACGTTTAAAAATTTAATTCGTTATAAAACGTAATATGAGAATACGTTTTACTTTATAAACGTATTCTCAGAATACGTTTTTCTATGTAAAACGTATTTTGAGAATACGTCTGTTTTATTTTGGTCGACCCCTTTTTTTTTTTTTGTCCAGTTAATTTTTTTATTTAAATAATAAAATCATTGTTTTGCACTTGATCAAGTGCATAGTTCTCACGGACATGGACGGCCCATGATTGACATGTCGAATCCAAGTATTGAAATTCCGT